CAAGCTATTCAGCGTCGGAGGATAATAGTACGGATTCGTGTGAACTCGTGGCTGCCACAATCATCCGAGTTGAACTCGTACAGAACTCCATCAGGGCCTTCCCACATCCGCTCATAAAAATCGCTATCTCCGAAAAGAAAACCAGTCGCCATCTGCTCTTCAGGCTCCTCAAACTCATCCGAAAATTCCTCTATAGAATCGTCAGAAAGTACCACAAAATCCGAGACTGGAACACTTCCAAGGTTTCCTCCCAAATCTACTAGAGGCACAACTTTGTCAGACTCCACACTTTTCTCGACGATATCCTCAAACTCCTCAGGATCTTCCGATGGATCTGACTCGAATGAACTATTCGAACCTACCATGTCCCTCGTAGAAATGGATTCAACCGAAGTCACCGAAGGGCTCGTAGCCATGAAGGACTCCGATTCTGATCCTTCCAACATCCGTCTCACATGTTCCGACGGAATCACAGAATCGTCATAACTATCATCATCATTCCCGTACGGATTGTTACTTGGTCCAGCACCTGACGAAAATCCCCACGGTCGTCCGCCCCAAAGCCTAGTATGTCGCGACGGCATCTGCACCACCAGAACAAGGTTAATCCTAAAATTCCCATCTACCTAGACCCCACGTTGAGACAACTTGGTTTATCCTAAGGTAGAAATGTGACTCAATTTTGACTCAATAAAACGTTTGAAAAGCGGGATGGTTCCCGAGCATCTGTAACTATGCTCTGATACCACCTAAAACTATAGCGACCCTGAACCGTGCTAGAAATAGCCCGGGTAGAATCGTATAGGTGACAAGTACTTTGCAAGACCGGATCAAGGTTTAAGCACCAAGCTCTCCCCCTGACCTGCCCCCGCTTAGTACCGTCCCTCCCAATCTCGATATCCGGCTTGCCAACCTTTTACCGGGAAAGGGAGTTATGCGGTTCGGACAGAACCTTATATCATCCAACCATCCCCATTTTGAGAAAACTTTTTTATACTTAGTATAATATGATATAAACCGCACAAACAATCATATAACGTTTACGGGGATCCCATTTCACAATACATAATACACAATAGTAGTCTTTGCATTTCTACCCAACAATCTACACCAAGATCCTATTATCCCAACAACCCTCTACGGCTTTTTCCCCTAAGGTTTTCTGCAACAAAAATGGTGGAATCATGAATACAAGTACTCAATGAGTTCGGCGCCTAATCTCGGAAGCTAAACAACCCATCCCAAAACAATAAACGTTAGTCAAGCAACAAGCAATCAATAGCATGCGATAATCAACAAGTAAATCAAATGCAACGATTATGCAGTATGATGAATGCACGGGTAAATGATAACAACAACAACAAAAATCTTATGGCCATGTGAACGATCCTTCCCATCAAATCAAGTGAACAATCCGCTGGTAGCCACCAAGTCTACAAGCGATGTACCACATGGGCCTTCCACGACGGGCAATCCCCGTTACCTCGTCAGGCAACCACTCGGCCCTTTGGGAGCGACCCAGTCTCTCCGAGTCCAATAAAAACAGGGAAGCGCACTCGAACACCACAAACTCTATATGCATGCAACTAAGCTACGACGAAGCGTACTTAAAGCATCAAGCATACATGACATGAATGATAATCCTTATCAATTCTACGATCAATCAACAATAACAACAACAAGCACACAATCAAGAAGCAAGCACACAAAGTAAATCATGTGACACCTCACATGCTTCGGAACTCACTGTGATTAAGCGGATGGGATGATTGTGATGTCGTAGCGGAATAACAACTCTGATTTGGGAACTTTTGGTTTGATACTTCGTCAAGAACTCCGTCGTCCACCTCTACCGTTAGCTTCTGGAGCGGCCGTCACTTCACCGGAGATTTCAGAGAGCTCTCTCACGATTTCTCTCTAGTATTTTTGAGTGAATGACTTAAGCTCCAAAGCCTTGGCTCTATTTATAGAGGATGGGACTTGACGCATGACGGACACATATCGCGTCTTGGGTGACTCAAACCCACAAGAGCACTCTTCCACCGATTGGCTTGGAGTTTGCGTTGCCCAACCCTATGGAACACGCTTCCTTGTGGTTGGGTCGAAGTTCGTGTTGCCCAACTCATGGCAACACTCCTTTTTCCACGATTGGTTCGATGTTCGTGTCGCCCAACTCATGGCAACACTCCTTCTCCACGATTGGTTCAGAGACTTATGCTGTGATCTAATTTTTCTGTTCCTCCCATTCTCAACCTCCAGTGAGAAGAAAAAACAACAATATATTAGAAAATAAATAAATAGAGAAATAACAATCTTACGAAACAAAAAAGTGGAAAATGAGAAAAGTAGAATATTTAGTAGGATTAATAATAAATACTGAATCAAAATTTAGTGAGAAACAAAAAAAAATATATTACGAAAGATTTTCAAGTTGGTGAACGTTATAAAAAAATATAAATCAAAAAAATTATCAAAAATAAATTAAACTAAATTAAATATAATCAAAACTAAAATTAATTAAATATAATTAAATAAATTTATACAAACTAAAATTAATTAAATATAATTAAATAAATTTATACAAACTAAAATAAATTAAACTGAATTAGATTCAAATAAATCAAATTAAATATAATCTAAATTAAAATAAATCTTATTAAATTAAGATTAATATAATTAAAATAAAATTAATATTATTAAATTAAATAAATATAATTAAAATAAAATTAATCTTATTAAAGTAAAATATATTAAATTCAAATAAATCAATGTAATTATAGTCAAATATAATTTGATAAAATTAAAGTAAAGAAATGTATTGATTGATTTTTCATAATGGGCATGATATATGTAATTTATATTTTTATTTAAAATATCAATTTACAAATAATAATTTTAAAATTTAAGAAATATAGCGACTGTTTAGAGCGACAGTCAAACGAACAACAAAGCAACAGTCACCAGCGATAGGCAAACGAACAATACATGCTGTCGCTGGTCGCTGATCGTTGTCGCTGAATCCAGCGACAGACAAACGAACAGGGGCCGTAAACGTACATAATCTCTCAAGTTGTTGCAATCGTTCCCATCTCTTCCAAAAGTTTTTTTTTCTGTTTTAGCAAAGGAGTAAGAATCGGTCCTTATCAAGTAAGACTCTTGTTCGAAAAATCGCTAGGCGTTAGTCAGGCGTTTGATATGGACTTAGATATTAATCGGATAATCGGATTAAAATCGGGATCAAGTGGAGACTAGTTTTAGACTTGTTTTAATATTTTAAAAACATACTAATGTAATATTGTTTTCAAAATTGTAGTAAACACATAAAAATGTATTTTTCAGACAAACTTTTATGATTTTATTAAAAAATTTACAATTTTTATTAAAAATTTAACATAAGTTATTGTAAAAAAAATTATAAACTTCTAATTCAAATATTTAAATAACAAAAAAAAATTGTTTTATACTTGCAATCTAAAAATAATCGAAATATGAAAAATTATGTAGAAAATAATCGGATTGGGCAGAGAGTAATTAGACGAAAAAAAAAAAGGCAGAGAGTAATTAGATTAGGCAGAGAGTAATCGGGTGACTCATTTTCTTAAAGAATTAGTCATTAATAGAAGCGGAGAGGAAAGACCTAACGATTTAACGTGGTTTAATTGGAACTAAGCGGGAATTTTAAGAACAAGGTGTAAGACTATAGATTTTCGGGAAAAATGTCATTTAAATCATCAATTTACCATTTTCGTTGGTTTAAAGTATGAACTCTGGAGTTGGTGATTTAATTCCTCAATTTATGTGGACTTGGTGATTTAAATCCTCAATTTTAGGTTGACTTTCAATTTAATCACGAATTCTCGTTGACTAAGCCAATTGAGGCACATCGTTAACTGGCTAAACAGAGCAATCAGACGAAGAGGAAGATTGAAACCATGTTGGTGTAGAAGAAAAATTATTTGATGGTTTCGAAGTGCCAGTTATGAGATGACATCATCTTATTGATCCGTTTAGCCATTTAGCAATGTGCCTCAATTGGCTTTGTCAATAAGAATTCATGATTAAAATTAAAATCAACATAAAATCAAGAATTTAAATCACCATATCTAGATTTCATGATTTAAGCCAACAAAAATAATAATTTGATGATTTAAATGACATTTTCCCTTAGATTTTCCAAATATAATTCAATTCCGTTTTATCTAGGATCTTTTGCGGATCCACTTTGCATGTGTGTTGTGTATGTAAAGTGTTGAAGCCCAACTATATGAGATATGACAAGTCAATACAAGCCCAGAAATCCATGTTTCCTTTCCAAGTAATTAGGTTTATACTAATAAGTAGACTCATATATATAGACTAGGATATGACCCGCGGTACACCGCGGGTTAATTATTTGATATTTTTTGTTGGGCACCGCAGATCGGTTTTCTGTAACTCAAATTTTTAAATTTTAAGTTGTATTTTTTTTTTGGTGTTTAAGATTGTATAATTGTATTTGAATGTTAATTCTAGGATTTCACTCGTGATATACCGTCCCGTATTAATATCGACCAAAACCCGTCCACCATATAACCCCGTCCCGAGAAATTAAACATCATTTTATTATTTTTATTTTCAATAATACTTTTATTTTAAAAACATATAATTCGAATCAATTTAAAAATTTGCTTTCAAATGGTAAATATAATATATATATTTCTGAATTTAATAGAGTTCATCTATATTATTAATATTATAAAATTTGCTAGAATTTAAATATTATAAATACTTAACAGTTTTATAAAGTGAAAATATTTAATAAAATTTTATTATAAAAACAAATAATTAACTCGCGGTGTACATTGGGTCAAATACGATGATTTAGTGCTAATATAACAATTTGGACTAATTTTCTAAATCATGTCTACCTAACCAATTTTAGTGGTTGGGCTTTGGACCCAATAAACATAAATTAAAAGAGTTGTATAAAACCCACAAGAGATAAGAACCCAATTTGAATCCATAATGAGATGGTCCACCAACGCTCTAAGTTTGTCTTTAACCAATAATGGCTGCAAATAGTCACCACCTGAGTTGTTTTGCTGTCTTTCGGAAGAAAAAAAAATATCTGAGAAACTGAAAAACAAAACTTTCTTTCCCCTAAATCTTCAGATTCAATTTCCGTTTTCTTAATCTTTTTTTTTTTTATTGTTCTATTGTACCTTCGATTAGCAAATAAAGGAAGAGATCTTAGTAATTGACACTTAAACGAAGAGAGCCATGAATCCAACTGAACTACGAAAAGAACCGAAGTAATCGGTTCCAATCCAAATCAAAAAAAATTCGTGTTCCACTGGTAAGAGAAATTGTATGTTAATTATGTTATCTTGATCGATTATTCTCAATTAAATACTAAAATTCTTTGTTTATATGTGGGTGATATTGAAATATATGTATCTATGTCCTCTGTAACATCGATTCACTTTCTGAAGTAAAATTACATTATATTCCCTACCTTGCCTTTTCACGACAGTACTCAGTTCTTAAACTCATTAATTTTTGATAATATGATTGGGAAGAACAGTGTATTGTCGTCTTGAGTCTTAGGATTCTGAATTCCTGTTTTGTTGTTGTTATAAGATTGGAGATGATAAGGCAAGGTAGCCGATTATCCTTAAAAGTCTAACAAATCAAGTGATGATCACAATCACAAAGATAAGCAACAGCTTATTTCTCTGAAACATTTCTGATTTTTCTGTTTTTGATATTGTTTACTAACATTGTTTTCTTTCATAGGTGAGGAATAATTCTCGAATATTAAAGTTGTCTTTGTTGATCTGGCAAGAGTCATCTGTTTGACATAAGATGATCACAAAAAGGTCAGTATGAGACCAAAAACTTAGTCTAATTGATATTATAACAAAACAATATACTGCGGGATGAAAGCATACACATGGAATACAATTCAATGGTTAAGTGATGAATAGGATTCATGTCAGAAAGCAGCTTATCTGAAACAATGACTAACCTACAACGAAAAATAAACAACATCAAGCTCAGTATTTTGACACGAAACAATCAAGCAGTCATTCTGTTGGTATGTTGTGTTTACTTTTTGATAGAGATCGAAATGGTAATCGTGGTGTGTGTGTTTAGATCTTGGAAATGAGAGTGTATTTATAGTGTTTTGATAGGTTAGTAGTGTTTTAGGTTATAACCATATTCCAAGTATTAGATATCTTATAAAATATTCACGATCCTAAATCTAATAGAATATGCTATTGGAAATAAGAATAAAATAGTTTAGTTAGGAATCATTTCCAATTAAGTAGTTGTGATTGAATGTCGATTTATATGGCTTATTTGATGTAGGAAACAAACTTTAATGGGATCATAATTTGTAGCATTTTTTTAGGAAACAATTTGAATATAAAATATTTGTGTTGCATTAAAATAGGAAATCATTTGTTTTGCAAATATTAATTAGTTATAACTAATATATTGCCAAATCAATAATTAATTTCGTTTGGATTTTTTGTAGGAAAATCTCCAAAAAAGAAGGATCCAATTGAAGGAATTCCGAAATCCTTGCATTTTTTTTATGGCAAGTCTCATTATTTTCTGGATCAATATTAACGGGTCATTGAGTCGGGTCAAAAAACAAATTCCGGGTCAAAATTTTAACAATACCCGACCCGATTAGGAACCCCAAAAAGTGTTGCAAAAATGTATAGTAGATATGTTATGAAGATCAGAAGATCAATGAAAATAGTTTAGGGTTGCCGGCAATTCTCTTTCTTCCTCAATTCCTCTTCATATAGTCTTTTTGCTAAAGTTTCTCTTCTTTAGAAAATAAAAACTAGAAATCATTCTGCCAATTTACTTGTAGCTTGAAGTTTTGATTTAAACCTTACATTTGATATCAAAGATAGAAAGAAAATAAAAACTAGAAATCATTCTGCCAATTTACTTGTAGCTTGAAATTTTGATTTAAACCTTACATTTTATATCAAAGCTTCTATCTTGAAGCTCTGGTACCAAATGTAATTAAGTACCAGATCAAGGCTTCAAGGTAGTAGTCAATTTGATAGAGAAAACAATACACTAGATTTACCATCTTAATTTTAGTGCATTTAATTCCTAATATTTTTAGTTCTGATATGAGTCTTTTGTAGGTTTCAATTAGGTAATATCATTATTCCATGAACCATGGAAGCTTGAGAGAGCTACACTGAAGCCAAATTGACTAATGACGCACTTTAATCATTTATTTAGTGGTAAACAATTTTTATAACTTAAATTCTAATTGTTATAGCCCAACATTGTGACACATGACAAGTCCAATACAAACCCACATATCCAGTTTTTTAGCCCATGTAATTAGGTTATTCTAGCAAATAGATTCATTCATATATATAGACTTGTTATGAACATCAATTGAAGTAGTTTAGAGTTGCCGACAACTTTCTTTCTTCCTCCTCAATATTCATTAGAATGGTGAAATTGATTAACAAAAACAATGAATCATTCTACCAATTGACTTGTACTTTGAATCTTTGATTTGAACCTTTCAAATGGTATCAAAGCTTCTACATCTTTGAAGCTCTGATACCATGTGAAGGAGTCAAATCAAATCTTCAAGGTACTAGTCAACTTGGCAGAGAAAAAAATGTAGTTGGGATTACCATCTTTATTTTGATGCATTCAATTACATAATATTTTTGTTCTGATACGATTCTCTTGTAGATTTCAACTAATATTGTTTTCAAGTTATTGTTCTCCGATGTATCTTATAGCTAAACGATTCTATTGTTAACTTTGGCTAATCTTGCAGTTAAAATATATTTAGAGTCAGACTTGGATTAGACTTTGCAGAAGAACAGAAGAATTTTTCAGGACAGAATCTGGAGTAGCACACACAAAAATTTGTTTTATAGATTAATTAATTATTTAATTTATCATTGGTTTGGTTATAGGACTATAACATAATAGTACTAAACATTTCTCATTATAACAGAGACTCTTAATGCTGTAACCTAATCTTCGTATTGACGATGGCAATGTCCCAGACTTTCTCTGTTCCTCCCACTTGTCAACCTAATTTGTTTTTTCCACAAAATAAAAGAAGTAGGATTTAATAGGAGTATAATGATTATTCTTTTTTCGAATCTAAATTTTTACTATGAAGAAATAAAATATTACGAAAAATATGCTCACCAAATCTTTGGGACACATTGAACGCACATAATCTCTCAAGTTGTTGCAATCATATGCATCTCTTCCATTTTTCTCAATACATCTATGTATAAAAAATAATTTCATTAATATACTAATCACGCACTTTAATCATTTATTTAGTGGTAGGTAATTTTCAAAAATAATTTTTTTTTTTTTTCAAAACTTACTTATTGTATTGCATGAACCGATTGAAACAATGTCGCGTTTCATTAGTTACCGGAAACCGTTTTTCCACAGTTGAATCCACCTCTTCTCCGCTCTCTCCGCTGTCCTCTCCTCTCTTCGCTCGAAACGTTGCCTCGTTTTGCGGTGGCGGTGACACTGTACCGGGAGTATGAGCTGGTCTTGGCGCTTGCTGGCCTCTCGCAACTTTACTTATGTCGCGCGATCTCATCTTGTCGTGTGGATCCATTTGCGCTGACGACATCTCCGATCAACTTTCCGATTTGGGAATTTAGTTTTGCTACTTCATCTTTGCCTTCAACCGCAAGGTTTTAAGAACAGAGGATAGAGGCCACGTCATAGCGGTTGAGATACACGTGACTTGATCGAGAGACTTGCATGTGTTTTTTTCTTTTGTTGTGGTCAAAATTTGGGTGCTTGCTTAAGTAACGTTTCAAGTGATGATACTATGGGCCTAAATAAAGCATATTAGTCTATTCTTTAAGGCATGTTTGGCCCAACATGAAATGACCTAAAATATAATATCGCTTGGATAACTTATAAATTTAAAATTTATCCTTCTAAACTCAATTAATTATCTCTTCTTAGTAGTTTTGTTTTCAACTTTCTGATTTCACGTTGTTAAAATTTTCAGTAGAACTGTTTAGCATGTAACATTACGCTAAGAATGTTGTCGAGTAACAATCCCAAATCTTTAATTTAATATTTGTAGTTGACAAAAAAAAGAACTCAATTTATTTGTTAGTTTTGTATTTGATCTATATCACTTAAAAATTGATTATTCATTCGATGAATTTTTTTTAATGTAGCACTTTTAAAACAATATTTCTTTACAATATTTATGGTAAAGAATTTTTTTTTAATATTTATGGTAAAGAATTTTTTTTTTTGACATATAAGAGGCTTTAACTAATCCTCAAAACTTGTTAAGCATAATGTATTCTTGTCATTTAAAACATCAACAATGGTCGATATAAAACCACAAAGAAAATATTTGAACGAAATTTCTCTAACTTCAAAAAAAAAAAAAAAACTAGACGACTATATTTTATTTTTTAGTAGTTTTTAATTGTGTATGATGTATTTCACTTTCATAGGCTATTTCCATGATCCATGTTAAAGGGGGGGTTTTTTTTTCCTTCTTTTCCATAATCCCTATTTTTTTAATAAGAGCAATAAGAGCACTTCGAAGTTCGAACATATCCTCAATTAATTAGATAGCTTAGAGCACTATATATTATGTGGATTTGTTATAAATATAATCAACCGATCAGAGTATAAAAATGTAGGTGATTGTTGGTCCACCTATTCATAAACGAAAACATACGAATTGTTTTATGGATTAATCACATCTCACTTACCACTTAGCTTACGATTATCACTATAAGTTAAGAATCAATTAAATTATTACATTCTATCTTTTATTTATTAAATATTGTTGGACAATCGGACGAAACAATTTGCGTGGTGTGAGTGGGTTTGGCAACATCATGACACATGCTTGTTCCAGAATTGTTGCTTTTTATTTATTTTATAGTGTAATACTAATAGTACTATTACATGATTACAATAACAAAATGACAACATGACGAACAATGTGGATTTTAAAATTTTGTGTCACGTTTCTAACAAGTTCGAGAGAATCCAACGGCCAAGATTACATCATCCGCAGCAATTATATGCCGTTTGGGACAATCGGATGGGCAAAAGAAGATGACGATAATGAGTCCCACAAAATGCCCATTAAAAAGCTTAAAAAGCCCACTCTCAGTACAAGTAGATGCCGTTGGACTCTGTCTTTCCTTTTTCTTTATTCCTCCAAAACAACATCATTGGCTTCGTCCCTTTCGAGCCATTATCGTCTGCCAATTAGCAGTTTAGCACAACATGTTAAGTCACCACACGTGCACAACTCATGTTAACATTTGTTTGTTTTTCTAGGTCCTTTTAGTTTTATTAAGAAGAAAAGGAAGATAGTTCAAAGGAAACACAAAAGCCACCGGACCAAGGGTTTTCTCACGCCGAATATATAAAAACTAGAATAAACTGAAACCAAATGGAGCTCTGTCTTCTACACAATGATAGAAGAGCGATCATGAATTCATGCCGGATACCTTGTTGGATATTCTGCCGCGACTTAAAAACTCGTCGAAAATCGTTAACTACACTCTTGGCAATCGCATAGATCACCGTAGTTTGTAGCCGGTGATTCAGTTTCTAGATCCATTCCACAAACGTTTTCAATCATGCGTTAGAGATTCAATTAAGATTTTAAAAAATCATTAAACATCTAGTGTTATATATTTTTATTTTTTATATAACTCACGGTAAATCATAGATCTATAGAATTGTCACACTAATTCCTGAGAGAAGTGCAGCCTACGGATAGATCATCTCTCCGGATATTCAAATGGGCTGTAAGCATCGACCCATATCCGTATGGATGTCAAGGAGACATGTGTTGAAGTTTCGCATAACAAGTGGATCAAACTTAAAGCGTGTTGGCACCGCAAGCCTGTCTCCTTACCACAAGTCCCGCAGACAAATGTATTATTTACGACTGAAATTTTTTTGAAAATTTTCGTATATTAAATTATTTGAAATATTACCGATGAATTTTTATAAATGTTACTAAAATCATTGTTTATATGTACTTGTTTATTTGGCCTCATGTACTGATTTTTCCCCTGTAAATGTCAAATAGTAATGAGATCAACTAATAATGACATCTTTTAAATTGGGAAGTCGATTCTATAGTCAAATACATACATATAAAGGGTTGAGCGAAATAACTCTCTTTGTTCTCTCTATTCTCAGATCCCTTGCCATGAATGGTTTTGTTCTATGCACACACTTTTCAGAAAAATACAAGTTGATTGATATTTAGTAGAAACTGAAAAATGAGATAATGTGAACAAAAAAACAAGAAACAAGTACATCGAAAGTAAAATGCCCTTTATTCCATTCACATTTATCACATACTTATTACTATTGTCTTTTCCACAACACTATTCTACATTAACATATTTGCCCATTGAGCCCAAAATATACAGGCACAAGTATTCATTTCATGCCTCATTCTATCATCTTTCCCACTTTTTTTTACCCTTTTAATATCTACACAATACTATGATGTTAAGCTTTTATTTTACATTGTTTTATATACCATTATAGATATATATACATATATATACCCCGAAACTACTAGTGATGGTTATTAGCATAAGACTATACATTACCATTTTCTTAGTATTCTATGATTAGTCCTCCAAAAGGAGCACGGTGCGGGATTCCCTTCCTTCGTTTTGCAATTCGGCGATTCACGGCTGATAGAGGCGGTGTTGATGGCATGAAACCATTATTCATAATGTCATCATTCTTCTTGAGCCTTCCGATACTCGTACTGCTATACGAATCATCAGAATCCGAAAGATTATTCGTCCATTCCTTTCTTTTCTTCTTCGATATTCCAGAGATCTAATCAAAAACATTGTAAGATCAACATAAGTATTAAGTTGTTGCTAGGGTTATCTTAGTAATTATCTGCTATAAACAACAAATAGGAAGATGTTACAATCCATTAGAAAAGTAATGAAAATGAAAAGACCTTTAAAATGAGGTGTTGCTTAAGGACGAAGCTTTTTTTAATTGACTTGGAATTTTCTCCCCTACTTTCTCGTCAACCCAAATGCTATTATTATTTTTCAACTCCAAAATTTCTTGAAGTTGCTATCATTACCCCCATAGTTAGCCCACCCAACAAGAAAAATCCTTTTTTAAAAAAAGTCCTTTTCTCAATTCCCATCAAACAAGGATTAAAGAATAAATGACGGTCTAATTACAAAATCAATATTAATAAGGAAAAATTATTGAATAGTAGTTAGTTTACCTATTCAACTAAGTTTAGTGTTTAGACTTATTCTATTTTTCTTCTTCAAATAGTATTTGGTTCATTACATAGACCCAAAATAGCTACACATATTTATTGAGTTAACTTTCTCCACAAGTAAATATATATTTACCAAACCAAAAATTTGACATTTATGTTACATTTTTTACCGGCTTATACTTGATTTTCCCGCATTTTCTCACCCAAACATAGAAAAATTCTTTTACTTTCTCAATTCTCTCAACCAAACCAACACACAACTAACTCCTAAAAGCATTAAAGATCAAAGACAATAGTAATGTTTTTTTAATCTCAAATCCACCAAAAAAAACGTTTATTTTTGTTTTGTTTTGTTACCTTGCAACCAAGAGAGCAGAATCTGAAGGAATCAACGAGGCTTCGATAACAGACTTCGCAAGTATTGATCACACCTTTGCCTGGTCGAGGCTGAGGTCTCTCGTTCAAGAACACAACCTTAGCACTGTTGATCACATATGTCTGAACTCCAGTTATGTCCAGAAACTTCTGAATCTCCGACACTCTTATAACATCATGATACGATGATCTCCTTATCTGTAAAATTTAACCAACAAACAAAGCTCAGAATCAAAACACTCTCTTGTTTTTTTCTCACATTTTCTTTGGAAAAGTTTTCCCGAGAATCCCGGAATAATAAATGGAAAAAAAGTTAGATCACCAACCAAACTAACAAAATCTGGATTTAACCACATGTTTATTTTCTCTCTCTCTCTTGGTAAAAAGGTAAAAAGTTAACAAGTAATTTGAAAGTGAAAAGAATCTAACAAAAGAAAAAACGAACCTGAATAGCGTGATGATCTTTGTGGAAAGAGAGACAGAGAGAACAGAGAGGACCATTGGTACAGTCTAAACAGTACATGTTACACTCACTCTTGTGTGAATCTGCGTGTAATTTGCATTGTACGAAGAATTTTTCTCTAAGTAGAGGTTTTAGCCATGGAGGCCATGTCTTATTGTTTTCTTCTTCAGCTCCCTGTAACACAAAAGAACCACAAAAAGAATGAGAATCAAACAAACCATGAAAACAGAACAGAGTTTATTGAAAAACAGAGTCGAAGTTTAAAAAGAATCAAATCAATTTGGGGAGAAAAAGATTCGATTTTGAGAGAACCCATTAGGTAAAAACGAATAAAGATTGATCAGAGCTGGAGAAAAATAGTTCTTGGTGGAATTTGAATCGATCTTTGAAGTAAAAACACAGAGCATTTATGATCAAATTAAAGAGAATCCATTTGAAGAAAAAAAAGAGAGACTATAACAAATTTGAAATCTTTCTTGTATTGTGATTACCATGATGAATCTTGTGTTCTTGGGTTTTGATTTCTCTGACAGTAGCTTCTTGATGATTCTCTTCGATCGCTAGTTTTTTTTAGTGAGAGAAAGAGGAAAGAGAGTGAGGAGAGAGAGAGAGAAGTGTTCGTGTAAAAATCAAGAGCGAAGAGTCGTTCTTATCCGCACAAAAGTCGACTACTCCGAACCTAAACCCGAACCTAGACTCCGAAGCTGAGAGAGACCTTGCTTTTGGTAAGGAGGGTTCAATGAACCGAACCCATCCTCCCACTTTCCTTCTTTCTTCTTCTCCTTTTCACATTTATTATTTGTTTTATGTTTAATCTCCATATATCTTTAATTTTTATTCATTACTTTTTAATTGCACATAATGGGAAATAAATCAAAAATATGAAAATATCTAATTCAATACAAAAGACTAGTTCGAGAGACAGAAAATAAATTCACCCAATCTAATCAAGAAAAGTGTTTTGGATCGTCATTCATGAATAGTAACGTAATTATTGTTCATTTGTTTAATGATTTTACACGTTTGACACTACTTTACAGTTTACAGTGTGTTAATTTGTTTCATTTTTTTAGTCCATTGATTTAATAATAAATATCATTTTCAGACATTTTCTTTTAAAATTTAATATACTCAAACAAAAATAATTGGTTTTTTTCAGTCTTTTTAAAAAAATTGATTGAGAGTTGCATAAAATATTTTACTTCAAATTTACATTACATATAAAAATGTATATTTAAAAACATGAACAATGTTAAAATTTAACAGAATTTTGAAGTGGTGAATAGTATAACTTGAATTGAATTATTTTCGTGAATATGTTTTTTGCCATTGTTAAATTGTGGAGCGAAATGCAACAAATAATTTTAACAAGATCGTTTGATTTATCAAAAACAAAAATATCGTTTGACGAAATTTAATCTGAATAATGTATAAACATTTTTTTTTTGGTCAAAACACTTTTGATTTCATTCAAAATATCAAATGGATTACAACGATAGATATAAGTTCAATGAACACTAAGATTAGTACAATAATGGTGAGAGCATTCCACAAAAGAATACATAAACAAGACAAAACAATTTTTGATAAAAAAAAGCTTGAAAATATGAGCTATAAAGCATTTTGCCACAAGCGAGAGAGTGGTGAGTTGAATGCACATCGACAAACAATTCGTGAAGTAGATTGGTCACTTGACATTGGCAAAGTGACGTTGAGAAGGAGACCATAACCTCGGATCTCGCCGGCACGAAACACGCTATATCTTCACTTCTCAAACGATCGCTGCAGAAGATAGTAAAGTAGTTATGATACTTGAATATTTTTTTGATAATTTGATGGGAAGGTTTTTTCTATGTATGAATAGAGGCAAAAAGTTGATCTCTCCATAAATGAAGAATTTGACAATAATTAACGCTCTTTTGTAGAGGAATTTGAAACAAAGAGACACTTGAGGTTAGACAAACTACGATTTGAAGTTCTAAGATATAGATCGGAATCTCTTCGAAAAGACACGAAGATTTTCACTTAATCTGGAAGCCAATCGAAATCTGCACCAAACTAGTTTGGAAAATATGATTAATGTATAAACATGACTAAAAATATGGAATTTTATATTATAATCCAAAATGAGCATTTTTAACAGCAACAATAAACTTTTTATTGTTATTCATCCGAAAACATCCTATACTATTATTTGGGGAGTACACTTTATTAGATACCCTTAACTAACCTTCTCTTTTGTAAGAATTTACTTAATAATGCCATTACAAAAATCTTCTTTTAGAACAAATTTCATTCAATTTATTAAGGATAAACAAGTAAAATAGTAATTTATGTCATTTAATTAATTTAATTAAATTATAAAACGAAAATCTGTTATTAATTTTTTTTAAATGACCAATCAAAATGAACATATAAGATTTGATATCTAACTTACCATATTAATTTGTTATTAATCATTAAACTTCACCTCTCATCTTAATATGATTATATTAATATGAAACAAATAAATAATCATATCATCTACATAATAAAAAAAAAGTAATTCTTTTTCTGCATATGCCAAGATTTGAATTTTTAAAAACGCATATAAATTGTTCAATCTATAAAGGAAACAATTAAACGGGTCAAAAATTGAGAGTTGAGTAATATATTTCTTTTACACAAAAATAAAGTCAACAAAAATTCCGACTGAGCAAAAAAAATAAAGTCAACAAAAATTTCGACTGAACAACGGGTCAGAATTTGAATATTTATATTCGATTTCATACATTTATTTTTTTGAAATGTATAATTTTATATACTACAATAAAAATTTAAATATTTTAATTTGCAACATTTAAAATAAGTTTTACTTGATATTTTTAGAGAATATCATCAATACTTAATAGTTCAAAAAGTTAAAAAAATTATAAATGCTCTAATTTGATTATTTTTAAAAATATTTATAATAGGTAGCGGGTTAAATATAATATATTATACGATGAAATGAGTTTTGATCCTTATAACTATTTGAATAGTTATATTTAATTTCATATAATTTGTTTTTTGAAATTCATAATTTTATAAACTACAAAAAAATTTAAAGATTTTAATTTGAAATATTTAAAAATAATGTAAAACATTTAAATATGGTTTGACACCTCTAAATATTTGAAAATTTGATTCCGCAAGCAATTTTAGAATTAACGAATAATAGATTATGCACACAATATTTTAAAATGAAATATTGAGATTCTAAAATAAAAATATAGACTCCACGCACGGGTTGATTTTGGTATTATTATATACTAAATATATGTTTATAACATATTCGATTATGCGAATAATTGGTAAATTCCGTAATTATAAATCTCAAACAAATTCTGTAATTAGATTAGCTCAAACAAATCTCTATTTCAACAACCAAAGAATTATAAATTGAAAAAGAATTTTCTAAATTAATTCAAAATAATAGCTAATTTTCTTAATTAATTCAAAATAATCTATGTTTTATATGTGATTCATTTATGATATTTTAATTTTTGATCTAACTGAACATATGCAATCCTATTTTGTGGTTGTTAACATAAATTAACTCATTGATCAAAAAATATTACTTTTTAAAAAATAAAATTATTTTCCGTTTTCATATCTTTAAAAAAAAATTATCCATAATTGAGTATTATAGAAAAAATTCTATATTTATTCTAATATTGTATATAGAGACTGACAAAAAAATTAATATTTTTTCACTTACTATTATAATATATTAAAACTTAGTTTTAATATATATATTATATAAATTTTGTAATAAATAAAATTTAACCCGTACTTTAGTACGGGTGATGATCTAGTAGATAACATATTTATAGCAATGGTGTTTTTTAGTTAAACATGACCAAAAAAAGTTGTTAGGTCCAAATCAAAGGTTCTTACAAACTAATTGTGGAGTTCTGTGGTGGAAGAATATTCTTTTGCTGGTTAATGCAGGATTGAGTTCCATCAGCCACTATAGGTGGTTTAACTACTAAGTAAAAATAAAGTCTGATTTTTATAGACTATGATTTCGATCGATATATTAGAGAAATATATGAATTCGATCTATCATTAACTGATTCGATCGATATATTAGAGAAATATATCACTTTACAACTTTTTTAATTATATTAAACCGGACAAAACTATTCCGAACCAGATTATATCCGTGTTTAACAATAACAATACTTGAAATTTTCCAAATAAAATCCGGCTATAACCATCATCACCACAATAATGGATAACTATGCACAAAAATCCATTTAAAAGAAATAGAATATAAAATCAAATTTGCTGTATATGTATAAATGTCACTAATTGTGTATAGTTGGCATTAATTTTATGTAATGTGATGATGCCATTTATGTTACTATTATATGCATTAGTTTTCTTTAATTTAGTGGATGTGAATGAACAATGAGAAAAGAAAGATATTGACAACCCTAATCAATGGACACCATCTTATTCTATGGTTCTACAAATATTATCCTTATTTATGTACTGTCTTAATCCTTAACCTATTTCTTGTTTGCCTATATTTTTGTCCTAATACTGTTCTGTTTAAGTATTTCATTTTATGCATCAACCTCCTTTATTTAATAGTGACAAAACGTATCCTTTGCTTATTTTTCTAATTAATATATTAAAATTCCAGCATTGGTTTCCATATTCCACAATAAATCAGTTTTAAATAGTGTAATTTTTTTCTTGGGGTCTACAAGTGTATAACACGGTTGAATTTGATTATATTTTCTAACAGGATGGCAACATTTCATTTACCCATTTCTGTCACATTTTGTTTTCTGATCATATATTATATATGATCAGTTCACATAGATCTATTCATTAAATTTATATATGCCTAAGAAAGTTAGCCATTAAAAAAAGAATGTTAGCCGTTAATCAGAAATAGAAAATTCAGCACGTTATTACATTTGTATTGTCAATCTAATACAATTAGGCAATAACTTGTTACAAATTATTTGTACGATAAATAAAAATGTAGAATCCCGAAAATGATTTACCATCATGAAAATTAAATTAAATAGTGTTGCCGTATCGAATCAAGAGAGGGATGAGTCTTGGATGAAGCAACGGAGAAAATATTAATTGGGTTAGCTAAGTTTTCAACTAATCCTTGAATAATAATGACTTATATCGTAGACTAGTTCCATTATTAATTTTATACTGTTCCAATTATTTGAGGGTCTGGTTTAAGTCAATCGTCTAGGTTTCTAATACAATATATTTATATAATCTATAATAAGAATTTTTATCTTTTTTTAGTCGCTTGCCGGAAATAGAAGACAAAATACCTAATCAGAATATTACATGTTTAGAATTCTCTGTCTCTTATCGATTAGTCCACTAATTTTGGGTAATATTATATTTGATCCAATAGATGAGATGTAATATTCGTGACGCATATCTCTATTATATTTTTTTTGAACAGAACTAGAAAATATAGCTATATTTTCTCTGAAATATTGCCTGTGAAATTACTGTGAAATATTGTTTGTTAAATCACGTTTTGAGTGAAAAATTATTGTGGAAAGAAGCTCAAGTGAAACCGATCGATAATATTACATTTACGGAAATTTCGGAACCCCCAATCCAATCATTACGATATCTGATTGATGGTTCATGGAAAGCTTCGGATCCAACTATATGTTTAGGTTGGTGGTGTTTTCAAGGGACCGCTAAAACTATACTGCTTGGTGCCAAGTACCTTAGAGCACCCACAGTGGTGCATGTGGGTGGGTGTGTGTTAGTGGGGATTTAATAATAAAATAATGTAAGAAGTTATGTTTAGAATCAAATTGTTAGGAGTTGATTATTGGTAGAACCTGTTTCTAAGTAATATTATAATAATATAATGAAGTAATTGAATTTTTTTTTAAAAAAAATTAAAAATAAAAGACCAACCAGACGCTGCCACGTCAATCCCACATCCGGGTGTAAACATACATCTGAGTTTTGTGTCTTAGACAAATTTTGCATTATTTCTGTATTTTAAAATAGATACACCCACGCAAGGATGCACCGTTGCATTTGCTCTTAGGAGATCGCTCTCACCCCTTCATTCGGAGATGGAAGCTTTAATGTGGGCCATAAATAATATCTTTTCAAGGATTGCTTGTCAGGCGTTTGAATCAGACAGCTCAGAATTGGTCTCGATGATACAGTCACCTGATGAATGGCCAGCTTTCTCCAACCTTCTAGACGAGTTTGGTTTGCTACGTGTTTCTTTTCACTCTTTCTCACTTTCCCTTATTCCTCGTTCTTATAATTTAAAAGCGAACTGTTTAGCCCGTTCTTCTAGGCTTTTATTTTCTGAAGCTACTTTTGTAAACATTTCTCTTCCTAATTGGGTAACCAACCAAGAAGCTTTTTAATAAATGTGTGATTGACCAAAAAAAAAAATATTGCCTGTGAAATTTTCAATAATAGACCTCGATGCTTATGGATTAATTACGAAAAGCTGCGTGTAAATTATAGAATTAAAATGTTGTCAAAAGAAAAAAAATTATAGTATTAAGCATATATTAAAAGATGGGATTATTACACATTATGCCATTTTTGACACACCATTTTTTAAATCTGTCATTAATCGAATTGGTTTGTAGAAATGCCATTTTCAGCAGAGTAAATAGACGTTTATGCCCTTGAAACTCTGTGAGTAGATCGGAGGATCTGCCTGCCATATCACCACTCATTTTCTCGCATTTCATTTCTTTTTTGACAAGAAATTCCCTATCTCGTGTGTAGTCGAAAATCAATGAAAAATCCAAATTATAATTACAATTTTCCAACATCTTTCATTTCATTATTTCTCATTAACCAATTTATAAAAACCAAATTTGTTAATACTAAATCGTAATCACCCCTATAGAAGGGAACCCAAACAAAAGATGAATCAAACACAATGATTATACCAGAAGAACCAACACATAAAGGAGTACCAGAAGGTTTACTAAACCCTAATCACATCTACCAAAGGGAACCCAAACAATGAATCACCAAGAACACTGACCATAACAAAAGAAACAAAACATAAACATGGAGAAGAAGAAGGGTTACTAAACCCTAATGACTGCTACCGAGGAGAACCCAAACATACCATACAACTAGTAAATCCATAATAGAATTCACACAAAATATATCCATGGAAAGCCGTAAATGGACACAAGATTAAGTAGAATAAGGGGTAAAAAAATAACATGTTGATACATAGGGATAAGTAGAACTGGATACAATCATGATTGAATCTTCAAAGAAATAGTCGTTTATAGTCGATCGCACCGACGATCAGAGGAGAACCGGTGACTTCATTCTCAAAGCCACCAAAGTCGAAACAGATCGGGACACAACTGAAACTAGATTCAAACTGCTAATACAAATCAGCATCTTTCTCCAAAAGATCGAATCCAGATCTAAACCTTAACTTAAACCAAACACACCAATTGATTATCCGGCGCCGCCGTCTCCAGAACACGCCTGAAGCCGGAGACATCACAAAAGAACTCATCACTAATCCGAGGTCAACAACATCGCTTTTCACCGATCAAGCGACAACCCATCACCAATAACCAACAACGGAAAGTGATTTTCTTCGATGCCGAGGCTCCGAAAGCCAGAGAAAAACCGAAGACGATGAACTCTCTTTTCTCTCTCTCCAATTCTGGTTTTTGTCGAAAATAATTGTTTTTGTTTTTTAATCGTAAATCACAGAGTTATATGAACAAGGCAAAATCGTCATTTTGATTAACTAGAAATGGCAAATTTGAAATGCCTCGTGAGAAATGGCTAGATGTACAAAGACCATCGAAAAAAGTCTATAGCTCATAATTAACTCTTAAAAGATCTTTATCAGTTTCCTTATAATATTTAACAAATTATATAAATAAATAAATGTACAACTTGGTGGTTGGCCCTGACCAATAAAATTTATCAAATAAATAAATTACGAATCTTTCGGCTTCGTCTATAAGATTGTAGGATATAAACTTAGAACCATATACGTTAGTCGAATTATGTAAAGAACTAGGATTTAACATTATAGTAATGTTAGACTTTTACAGATTTTAAATGAGTATTAAAATTATATGATTTATTTTTTTAGTATTTTTATACATAACATGTGGTACACATAATTTAGTATTGTAATTATAAATTTAGAAGTGTTAAAGGGTATTAACATTCTATTTAACTCATTCTCTATCGGATTAATGCTAAGTCTTACCCGCTCCACTTATTGATTCGCGAGCTCTTAAAATTTTTGAAACAAACAAATATTAAAAATCTTCAATTTAAGTTATAATACATGTTTTGATAGATTAAACCGCAAAAATATAATCGTAATACTGTCAGCTATAGCCCCGTCCCATCATATGATATGTGAGCTCTTGAAGTTTTTATACTTTTGATGAATTTTAAAAATTAAAAAGATTAGTTGTGTTTACAACAATTGATAATAATTATTAATTTTTGAGTAAACAATCAATAATTATTAAGATTAACAAATCTCAACTTGAATATAAAGCAAACAAATATCTTTGATTTTTAATAAGAGTATTGTTGTCAACATTATTTATAACAAAGTTAAAAAATCGAAAAAATTGCGTGCACTTGAATTTCAAGATTTTGGAAACTGAGATTAGGCTGCTTAGAGTTCAGCAAGTTAAATCTGCAAAAAAAAACACAAAAATAACAAATGAAAGAAAAGAATTTTGGAATCAGAATTTTAATTAATATAGTAATGGATTGAAATACCTTTACTTGTATATGAAATATCTTTTGTCATTGCTAGAGGACAATTGATCTACAAAACGCCACATTTATATTAAGATACATATATAATCCGAGTGGAAAATTAATAATCTAATACTTAACGCAATTAATCCTTACCTTGAATTCCACCAAAACAGAAAAAAGTATAGAAGGGTGATTTACAAACATTTGAAATGAAGTAATAATCACCATAGATTATTCCAACAATTATATTATAACTTCTTACCTTTCCAAAGTATGACATTAGTTATTTTAAAACGTTATGAATCATTGGTGTAGAGATATGAGATGTAGAATTTGTTAAATATTGAAACTACGATGATGAACAAAACCGAGGCAAAAGCGAATATTAGTAGAAAAGGAGATTAACTTGATATTTCGAATATATTTCACGGAAGTAGAATGTGTTCCTACTTCTTACGAATGAAAGCATATATAGAGGTCAAAACAATAGGATTAGTTTTAAATACGTTAGAAAAATATCTTTGTTAGCAAGCAATATCTTTTATATCTTATTATCATTGGCTAGAATAATAAATCGAGTTGAATGCCAAATATGGTTGTTACTTTTTCAAATTATACAGTTAGTTTGTTGTAGAAAGATTGCTTAGATTTAGTTTTTAAAATCTTTGGAAACTCTCTATTTTTGGTGAAAAGTAGTAAAAGCAATATTTGTTAAAGTTAGTTCTCAAAATCTCATAAATTTTAAACTGAATCACGTAATTAATATAATCTAAGGGGGTGTTATTGGTTTATTAATTTGTAAATCCATATAGAATTTGAAAATTTCTATTAATTATGAAATCAAGATATATGGATTTTGAAATAACATGTGTTTACCCATGGATTTGAATCCTTCTATTTTTCTCTTTCAATTCCATTCAATTCCATTTAAAACATAATTTGGATTCTCAAATCCAAAAACAAATGACTAAACGAATAACATATGATTTTAACTAGTATTTATAAATCATAGAACCAATAACACATGAATTTAATTAGGATTTTAAAATCAATGATTGAATAACAAATGATTTTTGTTTGGATTTCTAATTCCATATAAATCCATGAACCAATAACCCCTCCTAAATTTTCCTAACCAAAATATTTGATTAGTAAAACGCCAAATCCAATCATGGAATTTGCAATATCTCAGTTCTTTACTTATATACGTAGATAATTATTGTTAGCATTAAATAGATAATTATATTTGTTATCTTTCTATATAGAAATAAGAATAAATTGTAGAATCTTAACAAATATTACCAATAAACGATTGCGAGAGTAATTATAGTTTCTATTTGCTAAATATCTTGATTTTATGTTATAAATAAGGATTATTTGTAGATTTAATATTAAAGCAACAGAAACAAATTTGAGAATCTGAAGTTTACCAAAAATAAAAAATTCGAGAATCTGAAATTTTTTTTCCAAAAACGATTTTAAGGTGGTGTTTAAACCGAAATTAATTAATTAATTAATGTATTAACAATAAATGCTAATGGCATTCTCTTGTAAATAAGTGCTAACTCCAGGATTTATTTGCTAGCAGCTCACGTAATTGGTATACTAGGTTCGTATTTGCATTTTAAGTAACGAAGATACATGACTTTCTTAAAAACTTATGATATTTGATTTCAATAAAATAATTATTGTAAAAGTTATCTACCATTGATATATAATAAAGAAGACAATAGAAGTAAAAGTTAGTTCTTCATAAAAACAATGCATTATGTACAATTTGTTTCAAAAATTTGACACTCTATCATTTTGGAAAAGACATTCTATATAAAACTTTCATTTCCAAGTGAAAACACGAAGGAATCATCGGATGACATTTTGTCCATGGTAGTATTATATGTGCTATCCAACCAGGACCATTGTTAGGTCTGAACACTTCCACGAACTATCAGACTGTGAACATTTCTTTTGGGAGTCTTTCACCTTAGTTGGCTCAATTGACCTCAAGAAAGTGTTTATATTATGGTGTGATATAAGATGTCTAGGAATTTTGGTTGGGTTTTTTAAAACACATTGGATCTGATTGGTAACCAAAAGTTGTACAAGTTTTTTAACTGTTAGCTGGAGTTGTAAGTTTTACCGGAGTAGTGCAAAACTGTAAGAGAATAGCTGTACATAATTAAAAGTTGAGAGTAAAACTGTTAGTAACGCTGATGATAAAGCTTTTGTGATTGGTAACTGTCAAAGCTGTATACTCTGTACCGCTTTGATTATGGGTTACCATTCAAAGCCATTATGATTTCTATCTTTTCAAATGGTCCATAGTATCCATAAAAAAATTGTAGCTGGATCAAATAACTGATAAAGATCCCATAATTATCATATTGTATTCCACATCTCTCTAGGCAAGTAGTGATATATGTTTGGTTTTTAAAATTCAAATTATAACATATTTTAATACATGTATGAAATGATGATTCAATTTAATTAAATGGTGGATATAATGATTATGATAATTTTGGTTATAAGATTGGTATCAAAATTTTATATTGAATTTGATTGGAAATTAACTATTCTATTGAGATAATAATTACAGAAAATATTTTTTTTGCAGATTGTTTTAATTAATTATGTCGATTTGTTGAGTATTATTGTATTCCTAATGAATTTATTAAATAATTAATTTTGAATGACATTCAAAGTATTTTAACATTTTATAATTATTTATTCTAAAATGCCCCTCAAATAATAGTATAGATATGTATACATGTATTACTCCCCCTTTTATATTACTAGATTTACTCGCCCGCGCGTTGCGCGGGATATCAAAATTTAAACTGACCACAATACAAAATATTAAAACTAATCACAATCATTTGAATTTCAAAACTATATATATATATTTACAAAAGAATATAAAACATAGAAATTATCAAAAATATTTGGTATGTACCACGTAATAACAAAAGTAATATAATATGAATCGGTTTCGGTAGCCATCCATAAACTTTTGTCAAAAAGAGAGTTTATTCTATAAACAGATCTTGTAAGTATATCTATCTCGAGGTTTTGATCTAATCTTACCCCATACTAAAAGTAAATTTGCTGAGTTTGAACATCAATTTATGAAAATGTATAAACGTAATATTCATGCCGCTTCAATAGGTTTGGAGAGCACAATTTACCTACTGAAGCAAGACAATCATGCATTAAGGAAAGTTTTGACCAAATCTCATTTTTTTTTAAAAAAATAAGTTTTGACCAAATCATGAATGTCTTTATCTTATCTTATCTATCCTACAACGCTTTATACATGGCTCAACGGTTTAACCCTATGTTGAATATGATAGTTTGGTTTACTAAATTAAACTATCCGATAGTGCATACATATATCCGATGAATTTATTTTAGCCATGTGCATACATATATCTTATGCTTCAAGCATTAGTCAATTTCTCTTCAAACATTTTTTCACTTTCATTTTTTCGTCATCTTCTATGATGCACTTATTCGCCTCCTAACATCTACTTTTCTTTTATCTTCTATGCTCACTTACAAATAATAATAAAACTTTGAATTCATTCTTAACTCAAAACTATTTTTATTTTATTTTCATCTTCTTAGCCTATTTTCTCTTATTAATTATATGATTTTCATGCTTGAGCGTATTATATAGTTTTACGGAAGATATATATTTATGAAAATTGTCTCAACACTTATTTATATTTTACCTATATTTAAATATTTTTCCCTTTTTTATTTAGAAAGAAAACAATATTATAGATATATTTGTATTTTTTTAATTGTATTATTAAGATACAATCAATCTTTCTATTTTTTCGTCAATGTGAATTTATACTTTTACTTTCTTGAAATATAATTTCCAATTATAAAAATGAATTATTTCTTATATCTTAAAAAATTATACAATCATAAATTTACTATAACATTTAACCATTTATTTTTTAATCTAAAAAATAATATTATTTTAAATAGATTCCTTCCATTTCATTATCATCTCTTTAAGTTAATGTTTTCTGGAACTATGAATATCTTCTTATTATTAAAAAAAAAATCTCTTATAGCTTTCTATTTTAATTCAATTCTTTTGTTCATCCTAAATTATATTTGAAGTTTCCTTATTATTCTTAAAAGTGATATGTTTTAAAAGTCGTTTATTTTTTTATCAATGTGAATTTATACTTTTACTTTCTTGAAATATAATTTCCAATTATAAAAATGAATTATTTCTTATATCTTAAAAAATTATACAATCATAAATTTACTATAACATTTAACCATTTTTTTTAATCTAAAAAAAAATATTATTTTAAATAGATTTCTTCCATTTCATTATCATCTCTTTAAGTTAATGTTTTCTGGAACTATGAATATCTTCTTATTATTAAAAAAAAATCTCTTATAGCTTTCTATTTTAATTCAATTCTTTTGTTCATCCTAAATTATATTTGAAGTTTCCTTATTATTCTTAAAAGTGATATGTTTTAAAAGTTCGTTTATTTTTTTATTTTTAATAAGTTATTATTTTTTTGTAATTGTATAATAAATTTCATTAAGAATCCTTTTGCCCTTCTTAAAAAAAATGGTATTTCTATGAAATTTTCATTATTATTTTTTATTTCTTAATTATATATTTAGGGATTATGTTCATTTTAAGTTATATATTAGCAAAAATTTAATTTTAAGTGTTTTATATTTATATATGTTTCACTTGTGTTATCATTATTCAAGTAACCTTTATTTAAAATTGTGCATTAATTAAAGATTACTTCTTAGATAATTAGATGTAATTAACTATAAAATTAAATATTTTGAAACAACTATTGGTGGGATCCATCATATTAATTTGGTGATGATGTGGACACTCTAAGAGGAGAGAAAACTCTCTCATTATATATATAGATTCTATGAAATTTTCATTATTATTTTTTATTTCTTAATTATATATTTAGGGATTATGTTCATTTTAAGTTATATATTAGCAAAAATTTAATTTTAAGTGTTTTATATTTATATATGTTTCACTTGTGTTATCATTATTCAAGTAACCTTTATTTAAAATTGTGCATTAATTAAAGATTACTTCTTAGATAATTAGATGTAATTAACTATAAAATTAAATATTTTGAAACAACTATTGGTGGGATCCATCATATTAATTTGGTGATGATGTGGACACTCTAAGAGGAGAGAAAACTCTCTCATTATATATATAGATTCAGATCAAAACTATTAAAAAAGCTGATGTAGTTAGTATTCAACTGGCAGATTTAAGAATATTTTTGTTCAAAAGCAAGAAAACATCTCTTTTAATTGTCCAAATTATGATGTATTTTATAGATTTATTATTCTTCGATTGGGTTTTTTGGTTCCCCAGTTGTGGATGTCGGATTCACACACTCAAGTTTTCTATTAGGTGGGAAAGATTATTCTTGAGGGACAAAAATGAATGTATAAAAACTTGTGAATTGTTACGAAAATTGCTATATTCTTTTTCTCTCCAGAGAAAAGGTCCTTTTTACATAGCCATTGACCTCTATATTTATACATAGGGAAACGACATTAAAATGAGTAATTAAGTACAATTATTCCTTCTTAAATGT